TAATGTGGAAGTTGAGCCGAGGCCTTCGAGCACGACACTGGTTCGAATTCAAAATTGCTCTAAACTGTCCGATTAATCAGATTTTATGAAAAAAACATTGTTGTGTCGAGCCCTTAGGGATCAGATGATATTTTAAGAAAAAATCAGTTTCGTCCCCAAAAGGTTCGCCATAACAACCGCTTTAAACAGAATTTAATGTGGAAGTTGTGCCGAGCCTTACGGGCACGACACTGGTTCGAACTCAAAAATACTCTAAATTTGTATTTTAATAAAAAATCCGTGTCGTGCCCAAAGAGCTCAGCACAAAAACCGCCTTAAACGGAATTTAATGTGGAAGTTGTTCCAAGTCCTTCGGGAACGACACTGGTTAGAACACAAAAATGGTCTAGACTTGCCGATGGATCAGTTTTTTTGAAAAAAAGCAGTGTCGTGCCCAAAAGCCTTGGCACAACAAATGCATTATAGAGAGTTTAATGTCGAAGTTGTTCCGAGCACTACGGGAGCGACGCTGACTTGAACGCAAAAATGCTCTAAACTTGCCAATTGATAACATTTTATTAAAAAAAAAGTGTCGTGCCCGAAGGGCTTAGCACAACAAACGCATTATAGAGAGTTTACTGTCGAAGTTTCGTTATTATTTTGCCTCAATTGTACGAGATGCAAGTCATACGAGAATTATGAAGAAAATAGAAGAAGGGAAAAAGGAACTCATGCAACATCTAAGCGATGGTGGTAAAAATATGGGCAAAATGAACCGTTGGTCGCCCTCACAATATTGCTTAAACATTTTCGGTAGCTTAAAATAAGACACACACACAAGTAGACAATATATCGCTAATTTGAAACGAGAACTTGGAAAAATTCACGGAAACTGCCAAGAAACCCAATCAATGATTTACATATTCTTCCATACTTCTTCAAATTGTAACAATTTGATAAAAGAAACATACGTTAATAACATCTAATTTCCATTGGCTTGGTGGACAAGTAATAGAAAAAGATTATTACTAACTTATAAAACTTTTTGGGTTTTCAGACGAAATGCTTGCGCAATAAATTTCTTAATCGTGTATTGAGTAGCTAATAACAAAACTACTAAAAATAATTTTGAAGCTCTATCTTTGATAGACTGTTTTTTCGAAACATTTCACACATATGATACAATTCATATAAAGTCGGTTTTAGAAGCACCCAACGAATTGACTGGTTATTTCAGAAACACCTTGTATATTCCGCAATTTGCTCACATACTACAAGAAACGAAGACATTGTAACAGGCAAATATAAAACCGAATCAAATTTTGAAAAGCAGCAACTCTCCAAGACTTTCATGATTATTCAATTCGCGCTCAAAAAAACCTAAAAGGAAGAACATGTCTGGAAAAAATCCCCAAAATCTGTCGTTTTAGCCTGTTTCTACAGGATTTGCTAAACTGAAATATATAACATCTTCAGACTGATTTCCTTTCATAAAGAGAGAATAATCAATGAAAAGCCGTTATTGATTTTGGTGGAGAAACAAACAACACCCCTCATTTACAAAGGTTTCCTTCGCTGACATATGTATCAACCCTCGCGATAAGGGTGTGGAGCATAATAAATTGTTTCTTTTTATAGCCCCTCATAGAATACAGGTTGTTGACTAATGAATTTAGCAAATTGATTTGATTCAACCGTTCAGTACTTGCCGCCTATCTAGCCAGTAGTCAGGAGGAAAGTGAGAAAACAGCACAGTACAATATAAATCTAATAAATAATCGTTGTTTGCGTAACTGGCACTTAAACAAAAATACGTTATATTTTTTGAGCAAACAAATCTATTTACTTATTTTCAGATTAAATTCACTGGGGTTTCGTTCTATCAACAATGATAAGAATATTCTCTTGCCATGCGGCGGCAAACTTTATCTCAATTTTAGTGTTTAATAATGCTTCCAAAACCATAAGTATTTACTTAATGAGCTTCAGGACAAGTTTTTAATTAATGTACACGTTAATTATTGTTGCAGTCAATTTGTTGTTCACTGTTAAGTTCAATAAATCCAAACTTGCCACGTTTTAATAGCAAGAATATGCAATTATGCGGTCGACATCTGCATTCTTGTGCAACCCACGTAACAATTAAAAATATGGTTTATACCAGTTTTAAAAGCCAATAAATATGTACAAACTTTAAAACTCAAATAATTGACACTATTTTTCCTTGGGGTAAAAACGATTATATTTTGTAAAAGTCTTAACGATGATTTCCTACTTATTTTCGTTCGCTTATTATCAAAATTTATCTTGAGAACTAATTGAAAGCGACTATTACCACAAGCTTCAAGATTTTGTAAACACTTCATACATCAAATGTTCTAGAAGTGCATATTTAGAGTAAATATAAAGCCAAACAGTAATTAATTATAGGCTTCTAAGACATTTTTTCTTAAAAGGTTGAGTCCAATTTTTCTAGTAATCGGAATTGTAATTATAGCATTGATAAAATGCAATAAAAAATTACTATTAACTTTTCAGTACCCTAAATTTTAGTTTAGTACCCTAAAAACTACAACTCTCCCTTCAAAATATATAAGATGAAGAGTAAGAAAACGAAGAAAACAACAAAAAAATCAGAAACCTAAATGTAGTTCCGATCTATGATTGGAGCAAACAAACGCAAGGGATCATATTTTCGACAAGTATTAAGCCAAAAATAAGGAAATAATGAAATAGTCAAAGACACGAAAAATTGCAATGATTATTGAAAACTCAACACTAAGACTGGATGTTGTGTGGAAGAAGACAATATAAAAACATTGAAAATAATAAACTGGGACGAATGGCAAAAGGAAAAATTATCCTTAAGTTTTTAGACTGAGAAAAAAATTAGGAACAAAAACAAAATCGGCATAGGAGTGGACTATAAAGGAGTAACAGATGTTTTCAAAACTCAAATAACAAATTTGCTCGAAGATACTTGGACTTCACAAAAACCAACAGAAAGCAAATGGACAACACCGTAAATAATAGAGCTGATGAATAAAGGGCAGAAGCACAAAACAATCGGTAAATAACACAATGAGGTCAAATGATAAGAGAGGCAATAAGAAGAGGTACAATAAAAAACAGTTAATTTGCTGGTCAGTTGTTTTTTTTTTTTTAATCTTAGTACACCAGTAAACTGCAATTTCACTTTATGGAAGAACTTATAGTTTCACAACTGTGATTTTTTATATGGCGCAAATATTTAAGGCGTGATTTTAGAAGAAAATGACTAGAGATTTGAATTGTAAAAGTTTTGTTCTGAAAAAAATTCGGGGTGCTAAAATGCCTTATGCAAACGTAGATTTTTCCAATCAAAGCAACAATTATTGGCGCACCTTTTTCTTAATTAAAAATTATTTACTATTTAATTTGTATGTAAAATGACTCTTTAATATTAGCGCATTATTAATCAACACCCTGTATATTTTAAGACTCAATAGGTAGATAAGATAGGGTTTTAACCCGTTTTAGGAGAAATACGTGTGTAATTTTTCTGTGTGCAAATATGTACGTTTGATGTATGACTGTTTCATCATAAATTCCTAAAAATAAGTAATATAATGCGTTTAAAACTGCTCAAATCTAGAAAACGGTTTACAATATCAGGTCGATATTGCGATTGATTTAAACGAAAAAACACTCAGATTTACGTTTCGACGAAACAACTGAATGTTTTTGAGCAATTTTCATTTGATATACGCAATGATATAAACGCGTTAAAACACTGTGTTTTCATGCATCAACAAGTAATCAAGAGTCTCCAGATTAAAGACCTAATTTACACTCTCTTCATTTAAGACTTGCTCATTGCTCAAATGTAATATTTGATAATTTAAAAAATCCTCCATTCGATATGAAAAAAAATTAAAAAGTGAGTTTCACATATTTTGTTAGTGAAAATATGATACATAGCTCGAAGACAATACAGGCAGGCGGGTCTTCATGCCATATAAATTATTTAATTCTCACTTCCGTATAGTTTTTCAAGACAACCCGCATTATTCTTGTCGCCTTTCTTTTCCTAGTTGCTTAGCTCGGTTATTATTAAATGATTTAACTGAACAATCTGTAATATTAGGCGTTAAGCAATTCTTTCCGGCTTGGATTGCTTAGCGTGAAGCAGTAATTCACCTCGGAAGTCGAAGAAAGGTAAGTTCTAATAGTTATGACTTTCAGTTCTTCTAATATTTCCTACACTTTTACATGTGTTTTGAAAATCTGCTATATTTGCTGTAACGACCGCAACTCCATAGTATTACAATATTGCTCACGCACTCGATGAAGCTTTAGAAAATATATTAGAAGATGATAACGGTGAGAACCAGAAGAGGCGCGAAAAGATTAACGACTGAGTATTTTACCGGCTAATTTTCAGCAAAAAACTACACCGAGAAATATAAAAGTAAAGGGCAGGTGATATCGATTCTTTCTTATAGTTCACACATTTACATATCAAGGGTCAGCTTGTGCCACAAATCGGTACAAACATGCCACTGCCTCTCCCTAGTCCAGTGAAGGTGGACTTGGAAAATTACAGGCAAACATTTAATAGGTTTTAATAAACTTCCAGTTATACAATACCGCATAAAAGTGAGTATGTTCAAGCCAATTTTGAGCTGTAAAGGCGAAACTGCATTTTTTCCCGATCAAAAGCTAAAAAAGGCTCGGAGCTGAATAAAACCCCCTACTGAATTTGGGTATTGAAACCACTGTTCGCGGCGAAACGTCTGCACGAAATGCCTAAAAACATGCCCATTTTATTAGGATTTATCACCTTATTACTATGCAAATGTAATTAATCCATTGACTTTAAAAATAGAAAAGCAGCCGTAAAAGCTCAAATAATTAATGTGGACTTGGCATAATAGAGCGATTTACTAAAAACTCAAAAGTATATATTGAGCGCAGTGGGAGTTCTAGAGCTTTAATCCAAAAATTGTTTTGCCAGGAATTGCCCAAAAAACAGTCAGATATGTATAAAAAAAACATTTATTCTCTTTAAATATCAATATAAATATGTTAACAAAAAACCTAATGTAACTATCACATTCACAGTATGTCCAAGATAAAAATAAAAACACTGTAAAAAAAACAAACGTCCGCATAAATAAAAAAAGAAAGTATTACAATTTTCAAAACCTAAAATACCATTTTTGGACCTATACATCAATGCGCAAAATATATTTTTTAATAGCTTGACAAAAAAGCATTATTTGCCTTGATATACAGGGTTGCCAAGACCAAACATCAACTTTTAAGAGGATAATCCGGATATAAAAGCAACCAAATTAAATTAAAATTTAATTAAAACACTAATTCGAAAACTTTCTTGTTAGTACAGTTCTTTAAATGATGAAAAACCGGATCAGTTTTTATACCTTTTGTGTAACGTAAATGTGTAAATGCCTGCTATATTAGATTTTATATAATTTTAGTTGCCGACAAGGCAAAATTTACCAGAAATCAAGTTTACAATTTTCATATTTACGTTTTGGGTGAATAATAATTCACTTGCAATGACGCAAAACGGTGATCAGTGCAGGTTTGCAAATTAAATAATATTATTTTAATACACAGAAATATACTGGTTTTGTAACAGACAGAAGATCAAGAGCAGAAAAGCATGGATTTAAAAATGATGATGAAAATCGTTACATAATAGTGGAGATTCAATATTCTGATCAGCATACTCTTCTGATCGAAATCTTCTCGTCTTCTGTTTGCGATTTAAACTAATTAGCTTGGGTCTGGCATATATTGTGGATTTCGTCGTGTCGGAAAGAACAGTTTGCGGCATGCGGTGATACCAATGGAACAAACAAATATTTAAAGATTTAAAGGTTGTTTTCGTCAAACGTCGCTTTTTGCATTTTTCCGCAATTTAAAACTTATTATTCGCCATTTAAAAAGCTGTATTATGAAAACAAACAGATATTGATAAGAAGGTTTTTTCTTACCTTCAGATAAGCAATTTGTCTATTAAAAAGGAACTTACCTCATTTGATCAGACTCAATCATTTGAGTTAATGATCTCGCAACATTACTCCCAAATTGAAGTTAGGAAACACTAATGGGAAGAATAATAACACACAAATAATGTTTTCCAGTTCAGTCAATCTGTTTTAAATAGTTTTTTTTGAAAGTATAGCTAAAGGTTTGCTTACCTATTGACTGTCTTCGATAGGTAGTTTTATTCTGCTATAAGCGTTTAGAATAAACAGCATTACACTCATGAAACGTTAAATTTTATGTATGTAGGAAGGGATTGTACGATAAAAATGCAGCTTTCAACTAAAACAGTGCTAAAAACTGCATTAAACTAATTTCTTATCTTGGACAGACTGAAATAAGTGTGAAGAACTGTTGTGAACTAATTATAAATTATAATCTTACATTAGTATTAAGACTTTTGTATGAGCGACCTCATCTCATTAATAGAAATTTGCGAAAAAAGTGAAAAGCATTGATGAAACCTCTTATATGTACACTTTAGAAGCGCGACCCGAGCCAGTAACATTTCGCCTGCAAAATACCTACATAGCGTCGAAGTGAAACCTGTGGCTTTCGGAGAGTCGCTCCTTTTTATCCTCCTGCCTCTCTTTCCAATGCAGCACCCCAATTATCACAGTAATCATGCCGCAAACGGCAGTCAAAGCAGCCACTGACATGAGAATCAGCTTGCTGGGAGTCACGAATAGCTGAGCTTTCCATTTCCATGCCTGATTAACCGGCCATGGAATCACCACCTGGAAATTGCACTTGTCACTAATTATGTTCATTGGAAAACTTAAGCTTCAGGTTACCATTTGGGAATTGGGAATAATTTGCGTCCAGCATCTGGAATTATTGGAGAGTCCCACAGTGACTGAGTCCACAAAGTTGGGGGTGCGTCCCAAACCGAAAATGGTATATGGGAGATTTAAACTGAAATGCGCGGATTGGGGCATCTGAGGCGATACGCCGTGCCTCAAGTTCCCTTCTTGGGTAGTTGTTTTGTACGAAATTGATGGACCTGCAAGTCAAAACATTTGTATTAGATTCAATTGCTTTTAAGGCATTTAGGTCTATATCTTCTCATAATCATAATTTACTGATTATAAGTATAAGTAAAGGTGAACTGCATGTTTCATGCATTAAATAGACCAATAAGTTAAGCATGTAACGAGTTATTCTCACCTGGCAAATTAGTTCCATAAGTTCTCCTTTTCTTGCCAACTCGTCCATTAATCATCTGACTATGTTTGTTGGTCAGCCCAGTTAAAACCATCACCTTTATAAAGTTCGCGTCGTAATCCAAGCTGTTCTTGAACGCACCAGCTTGATAGTGCGTTCCATTGTAAGTGACCAGGATGCAGTCCAAAATCCCGTCCTGGTAGAAGTCGAAAAAGGCTGCCATAGCGGTTCCATTGCGAAACGGACTTAGTGCTGTCCATTTAATCGCGTATGACCTAAATATCTATTTAGAGCCCGATCTGTTGAAGATGTTCTTTTAGTGTCCGTACCTTTTAAATTTGCCGCATCCGCTTTGGCACGCCACGTTTTCAAGCAGAAATGACTGTGGATGATCGACATTTTCCTGCGCTAATGTTGCCAGAATATCCGGGTATCCATCCATGTTAAAATCGCCGCTCCTCAAAGTTATTACATTGGTATATCTACTGCCTGAAAGTTTTAATTTATTTTGAACTTGATGTACCGCTCGGCCACAATTGTTTTGCTTTATTTTCGGCCAATTGATTTAAAAGCGCGCTTTAATGCGAGTTAGTTAAGGAATAGATAACTTAGCTTTAATGCGAGTTAAGGTTAAAAATAATTTTTGGAAGGGAGGTCCAGGAAAAAACTCGATTGAAGATAGTCCCGAAGAAAGCGCACTCTTAAGCTTAATAATAACTCTTTTTTATCTTTATTATTTGTTTTGTTCTATATTTTTGCTTGTGCATAAAGTGAAAGATCTGTAGCTGTAAAAGGCGATTAACGTTTTTGGCACAACCACCAATCTATCCAAAGTGCAGGGACACGGCCGTCCATTCCATTTTGAGATAGAATCTCCGGAATTATCCTCCACTCACATTTCAAGCTTTGCATCCAAACTCAAAGATGAGGCATTGAGCCTTCGATCTCCGCATTTTCATCTGCTCCAGTTCTACTGCAGCGAATAGAAAAATCGCCTCCGTTTTGCCTGAATTATCACGCGTTAAATGACATTATGAGCGATGCCACTACTATACAGTGTAGGAATTATTGTATAGTTTTTATTGGCAAACTCCCCAAGTAAAGCACTTAAAAACGCGCCAGGAATTCTTCAAGAAAAATACTGCCGATGTATTTAATCAGTCTGATTCAATCACAGAAAAAAACACCTTAATCAGATTCGCAGTTTTCCTCGTTCCCATTTCAAAAGAACCACGCAACCGTTCCATTGCAGACCTCGCTGCTCTCACTATTTTCTTTTATGTGAGAAGGACGGCACAATAAGCCAAGTAAACGAACTGTATTACCCTAGAATAATATTTGGCATTCCTATTGCGCGATAAACTTTTTTGTTTTTGCTCAGTCATCGAACAAACTGTTCAATTGGGTGGGACAGAGCTTTAATTCCCATTCCGAGGCAGGTTCTATGCCACAACACAAACTCTACAGTGGACTGCTTCTAACAACTAACCTTGTTTTAGATAAAACTGCCACAAATTCCCTGCATCGTCTTTGAAATTCACTTGAAGGTTGATCCACTGACCCTCAGAGTAAACCTAGAAAAGACTCACTATATTTTAAAATTCCGGCCAATTCAATTCACTAACCATTAGGGCGGCGCCTTTACAGTTTCCATTACTCTGCTGCTCGGCACAAACTGGAGTAACCAAGTCCATGGATCCTTTTAATTCTACATCAACAAACAGCGATTGTCCGATTATTTTACTGTTTTCCGGATGTTTAATAGTGTTGTTGTACGTGAACTTTGGTTCGTTCTCATGACCCAGCCACACCTCGAACTGAGTGGGGGTCGTTATGAAAAGATCAGCCATGTAGTCGTGGTTTAGGTCTAAAAATTCCAGGTAGCAACGTGAGAAGAACCAAGTCTGGTCTTCTTTCAGGGAAAATCAGAAAAAACATACCCAAAAATGCATGGGCATGAGGACGACTCAACTCCTCCCGGCTTATATTATCATACATGGGGATGGCTGTATGGGCCACGGACCGGTCTTTATTAAAAATCCAAAACATGCGCTCCTTTTTCTTGTTTTGACCGAACAAATCTGGAAACGATGTAAATTAGTTTTCCCATCTAAACTGAGCCGCAATGAATTTACCTATTATCATGTCCTGGTTGTAGTCCATAGCCAAAGGTTGTCCGATCATTTGAATCACTGGGCTGTCTTCATCTGTAGTGCAATTCAAGTGATTTGCGCCACCCCATAGAATGTACACATTTGTTAATGATGTGGTATCGGTGTCTTGTTCTGCAAATTTACAAAAAATGCATTGTTCAATGTGCATAACGAGATTGTGGCCACTAACCTGTTCGTTTAAAAGTAGTCGTCACCATAACATCCATAAGAGCGTCTCCATCAAAATCACCTGGAACAACGCTGGTTATATGCGAATTGCTGAAAACGCATCTTAGACGATCTTTGGCTTGTCTTAAAAGCGGCTCTTCTTCATGGGCGAGCAAAATTTCTACAGCTTTATTGTTTTCTGGAAAAAAAATATAATCGCTTTAAAGACTTCTCCTGAAGGAAATAATCAAACTTTAATACAGATGTAAATAAAAGCAAAATTAATATATTAATCGTAGAAAATAGGACAGAAGATCAGTTGGTAGTGCCAAGACAAAATGCGTGGCTGAAGGACTTGAGAAGATGGTTCAGCTGTATTTCCACCGAGATTTTCAGAGCAGCTTCTAAGATTGTGATTGCCAGATGGATCGCCAACATTCTTTAGGAGACGGCGAACCAAGAAGACGATAAAAAAAAATATTTGAAAATACAGTCAAGTAAAGAAAATACCTAAACTCAAAAAATATTTAAATAAATGTGAATTGTTGTCGCGACAATTACAAGCCTTGCAAATCCTCAATAAATTTAGTCAAATGATAAACAGAAAACAGCAATAGTTGTTGGTTTAAAAAACAGGCTAAAAGCTAGAAGCTAAAAATTTAAGACAGAAAAACAAAGCATACATTGATTGGATAGAATTTTTGACGAATAAATTTTAATTTTAAACGAAATTGTCCTGGTGCAGTGAAAGGAAATTCCTTGATTTGGGTACTCAAAATAGATTTGAGAGCTCCAAGGAAGCAAAATAATCATTAGCTGCTCTCATATCTTCACACTCCAGTTGACTCTCTTTTTACAATTTACTAAAACCTCTTTCGTCCAGTGCTATTAAATATCGGTATTTTTGATGCACAATTCGCGATCATCCTGGCAATAAGCTAAAGAACTTTACATGCACATAATTGAATAAAGTTAGAATTTAAATGAGTCGTCCCTTAACACAGCAATTAATTTTGTACATCTAAATTATGTCGCTCTCACCTAAAACAACAAACACATCCGTAAGTTCATCGGAGTTGAAGTCCCCAAATGCTGCAGGCATTCCTTCAGTAAAGCCCCCAAAAACCAAAGGGGTGATATCGCTGGCAAGAGTCCTCAGAGTCAGCATAGTGACGACACAAATAAAGGTCCGTATCCCTTTCATGTTGCTGATTTATTTAAAACTACACAGGGTAAAATCACATCGGTTCTAGCTTAGGAATATTTTAAATAGTGGATAGTGGAATAGTGAATGTTTACAAAAGCACACAGATGAACGTCAGAATCAGCTGTGAAAAGCCCCACGAGTAGCTCTTGAATGGCACTATGTCTGTCTCATTCGCGCACACGTATTTTCAAGAGGATGTTCGGGTACTGAGCGTTTAAGTGAATAGACTAGTGTCATTATTGACGTAATTATGTCAAATTAATTATACGTAGAAAGAAAATTGCAGTTACTCAATTATTTGCGTCGCCATAGCCAGGGCGAGGCTATTCTAGAGGTTTTTCTAATTTTTCGTCGGTTCCGACGACTAAGGGAGTCACCTGCTCCCGTTCGCACTTTCGCGACTTCAAATCCCCGTCAAACTTGCTTACTGGAGCTCGTGTATACCTAAGCAATTTTTTTCTCGTTCGTGTCGCATAAACATGGCTTGTTAAGATGTCTACCCTCAAAGTTCGCATTGCTCAAACTCCTTTTGGAGGAGCATCAAGCTTCCGAGTAATCCGCCCCTTAAATACTAGATTAAGTCGAGATGGAGAAGAAAGGCAATCGCAACCCACTAAGTTCTTGCCGGGCCTCTGCTGGCACTGACTTGAAGAAGAATACTGGTAAGATTGCGCAATTTTCGCCAGCTTGAGAAAATATTGTGAAATTTTTCCATTTCCAGATGCGGCGTCCTCAAAGCAGGGAGCTCGTGCTGCCCCACGGCGACGTGAGCCTCCAGGAGGCTTTTCCAAACTCAATGAGACCAACCGGAAACCCCAATCTCAACGCAATGGCAAGGCCTCAGATAAACGACCCAAACCACGTGGTTACTATTACACTGGTAAAGCTTACATTTTATTTAAGTACCTACATACGCGAGGAAATTTGTTAAAACAAGAACATGGGTCTGCAATCAACAAGTGATGCCTCAACTTGAGGTGTATAATCAATGTTTCAGACTTATAAGTCAGGCAGAAACAGGTACATAATTTGAGGAATTGTGAGATTTGTATTGCGAATTCGAAAGCAAAACTTCTTAAAAGAGTGAAGCAAGTGATCAGAACAAGAAATATAAAAAAAAATTGATTTATTGCTGCCGAACGGAAACACTATAAAATTAATGCAACCAACAGTTTTCTTCTGGAAGCAGATTTCCGCCAAAGAACGGCTTAAAATCAGAGTATGTTTTTAGTACCCAAGTAAAAGTAAAATACAAGAGCAATGCATTGATTTCGAGCTTAGAAGCTCCACAATATTGAGAGCATCAAGAGTTTTGAGTGTATAAAAGCCCGCTTAAATGGCACAAAATTCTTGCTTATTTTGGATGTGAAAAGCCCAAGGTGTTTTTCAATTAACTCGAAACATTTCTCGTTTTTTTGATTAGGTTAAATAATTTGAGAAATTTTGAAATTAGTTTGTCAAATTCGAAAGCAAGCTATTGGAAATACCACGTAAATGTTATCATTCCTCTTTGTCAGCAAAAAGGAGAAAAGCCATACTCTATGTTTATATTCTATCTAAGCATAAATGGTTAAGCTCAACCGAATTATATCGATGAATTTTAGTCTAAGAAGAGAGCCTTAAAGAACTCGTCGTATCAACAACATAATAAAATACGTTCTGCTTGTGTTGAGATAAATACATAGTTATTTTATTTCAATGCCCTTTTCTCTATTAATAATCTAATACAAACGAAAACAAAAATTAGTGAAACAAGTGACCGACACAAACCATAAAAAACCTTACCTGCTGTCGAAAAATCACCTTATAAAATTAATACCACAAATATTTTTGTTTGGGAAACAGATTTCTATTATAATATTGTCTTAAAATGAGAGGCTCTATTAAGTAGCCAAGTCAAAGCAAAATTAACGTAGCTGATGTGAAAAATAGTGTTTTTAGCTCTCTATGCACATATTTCCACCTAAGAGGCTTTATCCTCATGATTCTACTCTATTCTGCTTCTGCGCTCACAAATTAAAGCAGTTTTTATATAAGTACTTGGAGCATTATGTACATGATTATTCAGTTCACAAGGACCCCGTTGGATTACTTTGGGAATCACTGGAGTAGATTTACAACTTTACGTGTAGTTCGAATTTAAAATGAAAACTACGGCGTTTTCAGTCAGTATTCTTGCAACTAAGTTAAACACATATTTAATTTGCCATTAACCAAACAGATCCAATTTTTTAATTCATTTAAATCACTTTATTCTGAAGGTACACTTGTAGGCTAAAAAGTAAAACATTTACATTCACAAATTGATTCTCATTTTCCAGGTGCTGTATCTAGAAATGAGGAAGCCTGCCTAGTAGATTTTCTTGAGCCAGAATTGGGTTCAGTTTTTTCACCAGGTGACACTTTCAATGGTATATTAACACTCGTTAACTGACCAACTTATTTTTGATTGCAGGCAGCAAAAAGCAAAGCCTGAACCATTTGTTGAACTTTTCATTTGCACCCCGAGAGAATTCTTCGGGTTTTCCACACGATCATTCGTTTGATAAACAGAATGGAAAAGGATTGGGAACTAAAAAGCATCGGTACAACAAAAATCATTACCTGCAGGCTAAGTAGGTGAAATTCCCGCGTGGTATATAAAGAAAGTAAGCAACAGTTTGTTCGGTTTTAGTTGCCAGTTTATTGTTAATGAGAATGGCGACTACAGGCAGTATATGAAGAATCCGGATGTCTTGGTTGATTGGGATTTTATTGAACAAGTGGTAAGTCTTGAGAGATAAACGTGCGGTATTGCTCACTACAATTGAACTTTTTTGTAGAACGTGCAAGTAAGTGAGGAACCATTTTGCCCCATCTGTCTGGAACGACCAATTGCGGCAAAAATGACAAAGTGCGGTCACGTCTACTGCTGGTCTTGTATTCTCCACTACTTGGGAATTTCGGAGAAAGATTTTTGCAAATGTCCTATTTGCTCTGATGATGTTTTGAAAAATGACCTTAAAAGGTAAAATTTTCATTCAGTCTATCATCCCCATGGAAAATAACTGCTATTGCATTTATTCCAGTGTTCAAGTAATTGCCCACAAGACCTACAAGCTGAACGACTTTATCGGCTTCAAATTAATGAAAAGGCCACGGGGCTGTTTGACTGCCTATCCAGTTGATGCCGTAATTCAGCCAGATACCAGTATTTTGAATATATCTCAGAAGAACGAGGACAACACCTGCTCGAAGTTGTTTTTGGCCAACAAGGGTAACATCTTGGAAATTCTGGACCGAGAGAAGGACGAGCTTGATTGCCTGTTAGCCCTGGACGAGGGAGGTTCGGAAAAATGTTTCATTGAGGAAGCCCAACATCTTTTAGAAGCCAGGCGATTGGGCGTTTTAAATAGCGCTGAAGCCCACACTAATGAAGTAACTAATTATCAAGATGACGCTTCCTGCTCTGAGTTCAATGAAGCTTCTGAATCAGATTTTTACTACTTCTATCAAGGTGAGCGATTTAGCCCCCCGTTTGATGATCGGCTTTCGAATGTCGTGTTCTTTTCCAGCTGAAGATGCCCAACATATCTATTTGCACGGCCTAAACGCAGCAATGATCAAGCACACTCATGGTTCTTTGAAATGTGGACCAAAGCATTTGAAAGGTATGTGTTTATAAGCTATTGTCGTGTGTTCGTCGTTTCTTTTTTTGCATAATTATTTAATTCATTAAAACATATGAATGAAGTTGCCACTATCTACAATTTAATTTTAGCAAAGCGTTGGAGTCTCTATTTTTTAGTCCAATGTACAAGTTTTCTATAATATGCGATACGATAGATTTTATTAAAACGGAACAGTCAAGGCAACCTTTCGGTCGTAACATTGTTGTGAACGAAGCGTGAATGTTGAAAACTTGCCTTAATTGTCAATAAATAATGGTTTGTTTGTTTCAGGTCGAATTTTGGAAAAAGAAGGTGGTTGCATGACTGAAGACATTCGTCAAAAGTATAGATACTTAAAACACCTGCCTGTTACTTGCCAAGTTGAGTTCGCTGAGATTTGCCTGAACGAGCCTGATGTTAATGCAGATACGTTGGAGCTGTACAAAAGTATGATTATTGTTATCAACGTGTACTCGTGAAATTGTTGCATGTTGTTACTTGCAGAGCAAATCGACTACAGAAAGAAGAAACGGCAGAAGCGTCTCAAGGATGAGAAACGCCGGGAAAGGAAAATCGACGCTGAAGAAAACCGGAAAATGGGGATTTATGTCAGCCCTGATTTGCAGCTGGAAAATCTAGACCATTTTCCAGGCAAGTTAAATGCCCAGTTGTTTAAACCATTTCTAGACTGGCAGATTTTACAGATGTTTACACAGCTAATGAAATGCTAGAATCCAGGCAACGAACTACTTCGGATTCTACATTTTTTGGTCATCTTGATGTCGACACAACTTCAGGCCAAGATTCTCCTACTTCCAACACCAGCCTTGATAACGCCTACTGTGGACCGTCTTTTGCAACTGTAAGTGCTAAGAAATTCATACTATTGCAGTCGGCATCGGAGGCATATCGGCAATGTGGGTTTATACCGCTTTGGCTTGTCTTTGATGCAAAATGAATGCAGAGGTTAATTAACCGCAATTATCAAGTTGTGATTGCGGTCAGTCCCCTCTCAACACTTTTTACATTCCTCTAGATTTAAAAAAATAATTAAGACAGTAACTATAATTTTGGTAGATTAATTGTGGGTGGACCGCATTTTCGATTATTACTCTACTAGAAGTAAACTGATATAACATAATAAATTTTTTTAAAATTTTGCAAGTTTTTGCAAACCTAATGAATTTTCATGTTATTATAACACGATTTTATAACAATTTCCGGCCGATTTAGTGATTTAAACATGGAAACTTTTCTGCAGAACATATGTGTTAGTATTGCGAATTGGATTTAAATAAAACGACTTTCAACTGCCTTCGTCCCGTAAATTTATTTCTGCACCATCAACGGGTTCAAACACCTATTTGCTCCAATGCTTTACTCCACAATTAAATAACCCAAGTAATAAAGTTGAAACTTTTTTGCAGGAAATTGTCCGAAATGCTAAATTTAACTTCTATTGTAAAAGTCCACACTAAAATTGTTAGTTTGATATCGAATAACAACGATATGTTGAAGATTTGATGAGAGGAAAGAATCGCTTATTTTTTATAGGATTATTTCGATTTCAAGGTTTATTTCTCCTCATAAATCAATAATCTTGAAAATAAATAGATAAATCATTGTATCGCATAATCGATTATCTTCTAACTTTCACGCAAAAAGGTCAGCAAGTCAAACGAGAATTTTGTCAGATGATTCAAACTCTTCAGATCAGTTTCGTTGGTTTACGGTACTTGTGTATTGTTTATGATTTCAAGCCTTTTCTTGATTACGTTTCCCATCCAGTGTTTTTCATTGGTTCGGAATTGAACTTTATCCTATATTAACTTTGTTATGGTTAATTATGGTCGATTTTAATTGGTTTTCTGCTTCTTAATTCTCTTCTATTAAAGCATATTTGTTCGGTTTTATGAAACAGTTTGTTTTGGTTGTTGGTGTTTTGATCTTTTTCGGTTATTGTTGACTTTGTCGTTTCTGTTTTATGTTGTAAATTATGTTTCTCGTTTATCTCACGAATTTTTCTAGATAACAATACTTCTAAAGACCTTGATCGATCAAACGATATTGGATGAAAAGAGGTCATTGCTGAAACTGGCAATTTTATCTTTCTCAATTTTTCGTTATTATATTTTAATATTTTTATTGTATTCCGGATTTTAAAAATATTTTGCTCATAATTCAAAACGTATTCCATCCTTAAGCAGTCGTATTCAAATTCAAATGTTAATTTTTGCTTTAATCGAATTTTTAAAAATAAACCTCATCCTAGGACAAGATCCAAAACATTTATCTTTTTTTAATTCATTATTCTTGGATGTTTAGATGCTTGCTACAGAAAAGAAAACGAGTCCGAACCAAAGAGCTTCTGCCAAACCAATCACCTACTATTCTCCATCTTCTGAGGATTTCGAACAAAAGACCGATTACAGCCTCACCATAGGCGATGCAGTTGCAAAAGCGCTGGAAAATCTACAAGAAGGAGGTACGCAATCTTCTGTTATTTATAATTTATTTGCCATTAAATCCGAATTGTTCTTAGGTGCTTCTGGTTCAGGTAAGAAGAAGAAAAAAAAGCATAAGCTCGTTTACTCCACGCTCATGACTCTTCCCAACTAGTGTTTGTTTTTTTTAAATTTGTGAACACATTAAATTTTGTATCTTATTTAGATTATGTTTTCTGTAAGTTTTGTTTCACTTCTTGTATTCCTTATGCGGTAGCTTATCTTAATAAAGAGAAAATAGTAAATTTTGAGTTATTATATATTGAAAAACTCTTGTCTGTTGCACTTTACAAAAAAGTGGGGCAACGTTACAATCTCTTGAAATGGCGGATTGCTTCTTGTTGAGACTCTTTGTGCTTGTAAGTCTGGAAAATTACACATTTTTTCAATCACATTTGTCGTTGTGCATTGTCCACTTACAAGAATCATTCCTTCATCTGAAAAACTGTACGTTCTGACTGTTTCTGATCCATTTGGCGCAACGCAGACTGTAATTAGCTTGTCGCCCTCAAGGGTCGTTGTGCTCTACAAGAGCATCATTAGAGTGTACTTAGAGTGTAATAATTGTTGATCTACCTTTAACACTGTGCCAGGCATGTGCTCTTCGTATCCTTCGCCCAGCTTAAATGTATAGGCAACTGTTCTGAACATAGTGGTAGTGGTAATGGTCCATTTGTCTCCAGACTTGGAGATATCCACTGTAGGATTAGTGGAACACATCATTTTCCTTGGAATGTATGGAACCCCTAAATACCAAAATACTTGAGTTTCATGCAATCTAAAATGAGCGCAATACTTAACCATTTGCTTTGAAATACTCGTCCAGATTCTCGCTTTTTTGGTGCGCGTACTTTCCTTCTATTAACACCATTTTGATTGGAAATAGGCTACAGGAATACAAAAATAGACACCTTTTTGAATTTTTTAAGATATAAATATATCGATCAAGCCTATTGTAAATTACGTGAAATGTGTTTTGAACGATCACGGCAATACTAATCTTATCAGTTAATTATAAAGTACAGTGAGTAAAGTTGACTAATCATGCAGTTACAAAGTTTAATATACCCATCGTGCGAAAAAGTTGAATATATCATGAATTAAAACAACACATTTTTAGGGCTTTTATTACCTCTTGAAGTTGCAATTTAAACTTTTTTGGAGTTAAATATATGAGATGTTAAAATGTAGAACAACCTATTTATATTTTTACCTAAAACGATTTTTACCCTTTCGGTTTTTCGCAAAATTCTCGAAATTTGTTATTTTGCTTGTACTCTCAAAACTTTCCCTCGAACATACCTAGATGAATAAAGGCGTTTTGGCACGTTCTTATAAAATACCATGAAAATTAACACACATGCTTTATCGATTATATTTAGGGCTTAAGGTCCCATTTGAAGTTTGTGATTCTCCGAACTTTTATTTTACCATTATTTTAAAATAATCAATCAAAAAAAAAATTACAAAACAAATTATTTTTAAAACATTAAATTTGTCATGGTGGAATTGTTGTGGAACAATTATATGTTTCTGTATTTTTCGCCCAAGTGAAGAGTGGCGAATAAAATTTTACGTTGAAAACCATGCAGCTATATTCCGGAAAAAGTTATAAAACTTATGTGATAAAACTGTTCAATTTTGCTACTAAGTGATATTTTAATGTTTTAAGTTCAATGGTCAATCGGTAGACGATTAGTATAACGAAACATGTAAAACTCCTTTAAACTGAAGCAAAACTTCCAATGAAAAAAATAAGATTTTTTATACCAAATTGCAACGGCTATCAAGCATTCATGCAAATTATATTCTGGTCTTTCCTGGGTCTCAGTCAAAGTGTGAAGTAAAAATTTGAATATCGTTTTTACGTAATTACGTTTAATTACGTTTCGGCTAGACAACAGCGCCATCATCAGATTTAAAATTTACGCAAACTCATAATTGGTAAATATTACGTTCTTTTAGGTCGTTCCTTCTTGAAACCTTAAATTTGTTT